AGGATACAGCAGAGCAGCAGTCGCAACTGTTACAGCAGGAGCTCCTGACCTCTCCTGTCACATGGACTATGGACTATGGATGTACTCGGTTATCTTCAAGAAATGGAATGGATTTTAACCCTGCTTTATCCAATAAACCTGGTAACAGTCTACACTCAGAGGCTACTCTATATTTTCTGTTTTACATGTTCTCTGGAGACTGCTTTCTCTTTCTGTCAGAAGGTTCACCCTGATGTTCTGACTTCCCCTGGTACCTTGCAAGTCCATAACTGGATGGACATGTTGCTGCATCTTCATTATACCTACAAAACTTTTATGTGAGGGGGTACAACTGGGGGAATCAATGGTGGAGAAGGATCTGGGGGGGTCTATGGTGGAGAAGGATTTGGGAGTTCTGGTAGATCACAAGCCTAATAATGGCATGCAATGCCAAGCTGTGGTTTCTAAAGTGAGCAAAATCCTCTCTTGTATTAAAAGAGGTATAGACTCCAGAGAGAGAGATATCATATTACCCCGGTACAAATCATTAGTTATACCTCATCTGGAATATGCAGTTCAGTTTTGGGCACCAATTCACAAAAAGAACATTGGGGAACTAGAGAAAGTACAGAGAAGGACAACCAAACTGATACAAGGCATGCAGGAGCTCAGCTATGAGGAAAGATTAGAAGAACTACATTTGTTCTCTCTTGAGAAGAGGAGATTAAGGGGGGATATGATCAACATGTATAATACATAAGGGGGGATATGATCAACATGTATAATACATAAGGGGGGATATGATCAACATGTATAATACATAAGGGGGGATATGATCTCCATGTATAATACATAAGGGGGGATATGATCAACATGTATAATACATAAGGGGGGATATGATCAACATGTATAATACATAAGGGGGGGATATGATCACCATGTATAATACATAAGGGGGGATATGATCAACATGTATAATACATAAGGGGGGATATGAACACCATGTATAATACATAAGGGGATATGAACACCATGTATAATACATAAGGGGGGATATGATCACCATGTATAATACATAAGGGGGGATATGATCTCCATGTATAATACATAAGGGGGGGATATGATCTCATGTATAATACATAAAGGGGATATGATCAACATGTATAAATACATCAGTGGTTCATATAGTGAACTCGGTGTAGAGTTATTCACCCTGAGGTCATCACAGAGAACAAGGGGGCACTCTTTACATCTGGAGGAAAAGAAATTGAATCTCCAAATACGGAAAGGTTTCTTCACAGTGAGAGCTGTGAAAATGTGGAATAGACTCCCTCAAGAGTTGGTTCTGGCCAGCTCAGTGGATTGCTTTAAAAAAAGTCCTGGATTCTTTCTTAGATACACAGAATATAACTGGATACTAACATTTATAGGTAAAGTTGATCCAGGGAATATTTGATTGCCTCTCGGGGGATCAGGAAGGAATTTTTTTCCCTGCAGGAGCAAATTGGATCATGCTTTACTGGGTTTTTTGCCTTCCTCTGGATCAACTGTGGGTGTAGGATTTTTTTTTTTTAATAGTTGAACTGGATGGACTTTTGTCTTTTTTCAGCCAAACTAACTATGTAACTAAATGAGGCACTGTTATATTTATAAGGGGATCATTTATTTTGTGCCAGCGAAACTCTTGTATGCATTTCCATACTTTCTGAGCCACTAGTCCAGTATAGAGATTGGGTTTTAATGTAAATTTTATTAGCTTTGTTTTGGGCATCTAACTTGTTCAGAATGAGGCCAGAAGACCGCACATTTCCTTCATGACAAGTACACTTTCAAGCAGTCATGCGCTGATGGTAGAGTGACTTTTGTACTGTGCGTAATTAATGTTTCATACATTGGGTAATAGTATACCTCTATGGTTCTTATAGCTACCTCTGCACAATCTGTTCTGCACATGTTATAGACCTTCATTTATAGGGAGTATAAATACTGTACATGTCAATGGTCTGAGCTGGTCTGATGGAAGATACAGGTCACCCCCTTGGAGCTCCACTATAGATGACAAACTGCCAGGGGCCTCTTTATCACTCTTCAGAGGCTGCCTGGTGGGTGAGAGCAGAGGTTCAGAGTATGGAATGTATTTGTATTTCCTTTGAATACCCCAGGAGGAGATTTTTTCCATACAACAGAATGCTTTTGCTGGTTAGCTCTTAGATTCGGAATCCACAGCATAAAGGGGATTCCCACATATTTACAGCAGCAGAAGGATATTATATCCTGTTAGGTGTTGATTAATGCAGAAAGTGTGAAGTCTCAGTGATAATTCTTTATTGGCTAAATTAATGTACTGTATATACTTAAAATGGCTGTAAACTTCTGAAATGAAAAATAAACAAAGCACATCCTGCTATAATGTGTACTCATCTCAATCCAAAGCACTAAGATTTCTGTCTCCTCTCTCACTCCTGTGCTATCTGCAAGAGTCACTTCTGGCAGTTGATCCCAACACCATACAATCCCAGGAGACAGCTCCACCCCCTCCAGCACACAGCAGGTGATTGACAACCTCAGCTGTGTATGTTTCCTTATGAGATTGTGTAGAAGGGGTGTGTCCCTTCCCTCAACTCAGGTCTCAGATTACACTCAGCTCCCTGCTCTATGCTAGCATTTTGTGATTAATGCTGTTTAAATTATGTACTTTGAACAGCTGTAGAGGAGAGATGGCTTCAGATAAAGGAGGATTTGCTTCATCTCTGTGTATCGCCTGAGGTTAGGCACTTCACTGGGTATATGTAAGGGTTTACAACTAAAAAGGGGGACACTCTGTAGCACCACAATATCAGGACTAAAAACATTCTTTTTATTATCATTTGCTAAAAATATCAATACATATAAATCAACTTACTGCTAAACTACTAAAATAATGTTTTTTTTGGGTTTTTTTAACCAGCTTTATTTTCCAAAAGCAAGTCATGTGGCGTGCATGGCTCTCTGAGGCCGTATTCACACTTGAGCATAGCAAATGTTAGCATTTTTTGCGTGTGCTGTTGCACAGGTTTTGCATGTTTTTGTTTATTTATGCGTATTTTTAATACAGCATTTTTCAGGTGTTTTTGAGCTTTATCATTTTTTTATTAGCCATTATCATCTGTTGCATCATTTTTTGCTAAGATTTTCAGCTTTTTTAGCTTTTTCATCAGCTTTTATTTCTTTTATTATTAATTTATGTTTTGGTTAGGGTAAGGTGTTAGAATTAAGGTTAAGATAGGGTCTCAAATGTTATATATATACACTATTTTTTATTATTTATTTATTTATTTTGGTGGGTTAGGGTGTTTTATTTATTATTATTTTATTATTATTAATGTTATTATTTATTATTATTATTAGATTTTTTTTAGGGTTAGGGGACTAAAGGTAGGGGTTAATTATATATATCAATATATGTATAATTATTAGAAAATTTTATTTATTTATTATTATTACATTTTATTCATTTATTTTATTTATTTATTATTTATTTACGATAATGTTTATTTGTGTATTATTTTATATTAATTTATTCATACATTATTACTATTTTTTTTTTTATTTGAGCAGAAAAACACTTTAAAATTCCATACATTTCTATGGGATTAAAAATCCTCCAAAACACACAAATCTGCCCGATTTGACTGACAAAAAAAAGCTCCAGAACTTGTGTGAGCTTCAGGCGTTTGGCTTCAGGCGACTTGGAGTGGAGATGTGAACCATCTCCATTGGGAATAATTGATTTTTTTCTCCTCAAGTGTTTTGGAACTTTGAGCTTCAAGCTACAAATTTCTCGGGTGTGAATGGGGCCTGACTCTGTTCTTCATCTTCCACTGTGTCATAACGGTGGGCAATACAGAAGCTGGGGGCTGTGCAATAATCTGGTTGCACACACCTGCCAGCCCACACAGCCCCACAACCTAGGGTGGCAACGTTGAACTTGCAGAGGCATGGATTCGATCAGCATCAGGGGTGGACTGACAACTCATGAGGCCCCCGGGCAATAGGGGATCATGAGGCCCCTGTGTCCTTGCCAGGGGCGGACTGACAACTCATGGGGCCCCCGGGCAATAGGGGATCATGGGGCCCCTGTGTCCTTGCCCAAACTCAAAAAAGCCTATGAAAAAGGTACCAGGGGCATCTCATGGGGCCCCCTACTGACCCCGGGCCCTCGGGCAGTGCCCGAGTTTCCAAATGGGCAGTCCGCCCCTGATCAGCATTGTCATCTTATGACAGGAAGTCCCATACTGACAGAATCAATAGGTCAAAATACACAAAATAAAAGACTGTCAATATAAAGGAGGATATTCAATGCCTTCAGAATAGGGTAAGTATCTGGATGGGTTTTTTTTTGGGGGGGGGGATTACATACCACTTAAGGGCTGGTGCATACTATATAAATAATGTCCAGATGTGTTCCTAGCGCTTTTCCGCAGGAGTGTTTTTGATGCATTCCGGTGCGCTTTTGATGCATTTTTTTACGCATTACAGTGTGTTTTTTTTATGCATTCTAGTTCATTTCTTCCCCTCTGTTTTTCTTCAATTAAAATAGGGGCATGTACATTCCAGTGCTTTTTTGGTGCATTTTGGGGCATTCCAGAGCGTTTTAGATGCGTTTTACCACTTTCCAGTGCAGTTCTGTGCAGAAAAAATGCAGCCTGTTCTACTTTTTTTTCTGCAACCAGAACGCACTGGAACTGCACTGATGTGAACTACGACATTGCCAACCATATCACCTACTTTCTGTGCATTTTGGATGCAGAAAAAAAGCAACTGAAATGCATATAGTGTGAATTGACTCATACACTGAACTTCGAGACAAGCAAATATTGTTTTAATAAAGGGGACAAGTGTATTCTTCCTTGAACCCTGGTGTGCTTTGTATATTTCATTCATATCTATATACTAATCCAGTGTGAAACTTAGTCCCCTGCACAAGATCAGTCATGGCCAGGGGCGGGACTGACCATTTAGGCATTTGGGCACTGCCCGAGGGCCCGGGGTCAGTAGGGGGCCGGATGAGATGCCCCTGGTACCTTTCATAGGCTTTTTTGGGTGTGGTTTGAGTGTGGACAAGGACACAGGGGCCCCATGATTTCCTATTGCCCGGGGGCCCATGAGTTGTCAGTCCGCTCCTGGTCATGGCTGCTCTATCCCCCTGTGCAGGGTGACTGGTCTTGTCTCTGCCCCTTCCTCCGGGTTTCTGCAGGTACCCTTTAGTCGGTGGGGCCTGCTGGGTCCCTCCCACAGCTCTTTATACACGCTACATACAGCACATGATGATGTCACAACTTCTGGTATATTTTATATCTGAGTTTGTAAAGGCATTTGGGGCACATCAAATGGATTTATATTCTTTGTGGCTATTAAGAACATATATAAATAAAATGTTTGTCCCTAGAGGTCAGCTTTAAGGTTACCATGAATAAATACTACGGCCTTTTCAAGCCACAAAAGTTATGCTGAGGTTGTGTCTTTAGTCATTGATCGATTCTTGTGCTGATTTGGAAAATTGTATTAAATGTTGAAAATTGTATAACATTATGCCTCCAATACCACTGGGACAGCAATTCTCATATCCCTAGATGAGTGCATTCATGAAATAAATTGCCCCAAGATAACTGCCATTCCCAATCACTCTTATTCATTATTAGAAGCACAATAACGCGGGAAGAGACGAGCGCATTCCCAGCGGGCCGATGTGTCCACTTTGTGCAGATTGATACAAGACAATGCTGCATTTCCCCCATCCCGCCGCCCACACATTGCGCACATTTGTCTCCATACAGTAAGTGCATCCTTAGGGCTAAGTTTTCATTGAGGTTCAGTACATTATTCCTGCTTCACTTGTGTTATTAGTTGAGTTTCATTTAAAATGAGCAGCGCTGCTTATTGCCTTGTAATTGCAGACAGAAAAGGCCCGGGGTCCCGAGTCATCCAGCGATACCTGCTTTGTCTACAGAGCTGTAATTATTGTATTACCACTGGACCAACTGGAGGGGAACGACGGCTCTCTGCAAATGTCGCACTTTCTGTTTATGAATTTAATGGTTTGGTTTTACACAATCTCCCCAAATATCATTAGCAAAAATGTGAGTTACTAAACAGGATCAGAGGAGGGAGATGAAAGAGCTGAGCTGATTGCCGCAAGATTATAATTATCATACTTATAATTATGATGATTACAGCAAATATCTGTGGGTGAGGGGGGCCCAATGCATGGCCGGGCTGGTACACATCAATTCTTGAGGCTTCGGATAAAGTAAGTATGCTTCTGAAAGGATCATTGTAGCATTAAAGAACAAAATGCTTTGTTAAAGATGAGTTCCAGGCATGGTATATTTTTACACAGTTACGTTGATCCAGCTTGGAATAAGATAACTATGTATATACCATACCTGGGTGGTGCACCTCAATGCTGGAAATCCCTGAAATAGACATCATTGATCCAGTGATCTCTACTAGCTTCCAGGTCCAGTGCTGAGTGGCTACCCTGCTGTATTCTAAACACAGGAGGCCGGCCGCTCAGCATGGGCCACATTCAAAGAATGAGGCTTGGTTATCTATGGATATTGACCAAGATGGTTGTTGTTTGAAAGTGAAACTTGGATTACAGTCAAATGAGGATTGGCTGGTTCAATTTCCTGAAGCAATGGTATATGCTATTTAAGGGTGATGCCCCAGCATGGTTTCCATGCCCTGGAAGACGTCATCTATGATGAAACATGTTGAATGGAGGCTGCTGTGACGTAATTATGCATACCAGAAGTGAGCCATTTTCTGTGATCCATGCAGAATTTGATGGTTTTATACAGCACTGATTACTCTTTTATCCTTGTGAGTACATTATTAGTTCTCTTAATAAAGTTTTACAGTTTTAACGTTATGTGGATCATATGATCTTCTCTTTTTGCATACTTACCTGCACACACGGATCATCACGTTTTGCTGAACAATACTGTTCTGATTTCTGCCACTGGGTATCTGACTAAGGGTGGAATGACCCAGCTCTAAAAAGCCAGATCAGCTTAGGCTATTCAGACTCCATCTTAGTACAGTACTCTGAACCAAAGTCATTGAATGAAGCCATGCAAGTAGCCGTCTGTATAGACAAGCGTTTATGGGAAATGTGTACTGAGAGGTTTGTCCATCTGCCCCCTAGTACTCTGCCCACTTCTTCACCATCAGACCTTCCGGGTATTCTCAACCCTTCCAGGAGGAGGAGCCCATTCAAATTGGTGCTGCTCATTTATCCTCTGGGGAACAGGCTAGAAGAAGATCCCAGGGACTCTGCTTATACTGTGAGGACTATGCCCACTTTGTTGCCAGCTGCCCCAATAAGATGGGAAATCCCAAGAGTCTAGTGCGGCTAGGGCAGCAATGGGCAAACTACGGCCCGCGGGCTGTATACGGCCCGGCTGACCTTTTAATCCGGCCCGCGGAGCGTGGCAAACATTGCCTGTCAGGATGTGTGTAGGCAGGGCAGCGTGAGGCGGGGCAGCAGGGGAGCTAGGCTCCTCTCACAGTCCGCCCTGAAGACCGGAATGGCGCAGGAACACGGCGAGAGGAACGCGCGGAGCAAAGGTAAGTGAATTGACACAATATGGGGAATGAATTACTATAAGGGGGATGAATTACTATGGGGGATGAATTACTATGGGGGATGAATTACTATATGGGGGATGAATTACTATGGGGGATTAATTACTATATGGGGGATGAATTACTATATGGGGGATGAATTACTATATGGGGGATGGATTACTATGGGGGATGAATTACTATATGGGGGATGAATAACTATATGGGGGATGAATTACTATGGGGGATGAATTACTATATGGGGGATGAATTACTATATGGGGGATGAATTACCGTATTTTTCGCTCCATAAGACGCACCTGACCATAAGACGCACCTAGGTTTTAGAGGTGAAAAACAAGAAAAAAAAATATTCTGAACCAATGGACTGCAGACATAGTACAGGGGATGACCAGAGACTGCGGACACAGTACAGGAGATGACCAGAGACTGCAGACATAGTACAGGAGATGACCAGAGACTGCGGACAAAGTACAGGGGATGACCAAGAGACTGCGGACATAGTACAGGAGATGACCAGAGACTGCAGAAACAGTACAGGAGATGACCAGAGACTGCGGACACAGTACAGGAGATGACCACAGACTGCGGACACAGTACAGGAGATGACCAGGGACTGCGGGGTACACAGTACAGATGACCAGAGACTGCGGACACAGTACAGGAGATGACCAGAGACTGCGGACACAGTGCAGGAGATGACCAGAGACTGCGGACACAGTGCAGGAGATGACCAGAGACTGCGGACACAGTGCAGGAGATGACCAGAGACTGCGGACACAGTGCAGGGAATGACCAGAGACTGCGGACAGTGCAGGGAATGACCAGAGACTGCGGACAGTGCAGGGGATGACCAGAGACTGCGGACAGTGGGGGAATGACCAGAGACTGCGGACAGTGCAGGGAATGACCAGAGACTGCGGACACAGTGCAGGAGATGACCAGAGACTGCGGACACAGTGCAGGAGATGACCAGAGACTGCGGACACAGTGCAGGAGATGACCAGAGACTGCGGACACAGTGCAGGAGATGACCAGAGACTGCGGACACAGTGCAGGGAATGACCAGAGACTGCGGACAGTGCAGGGAATGACCAGAGACTGCGGACAGTGCAGGGAATGACCAGAGACTGCGGACACAGTACAGGGATGACCAGAGACTGGGGGACAGTACAGGGAATGACCAGAGACTGCGGACAGTACAGGGAATGACCAGAGACTGCGGACACAGTACAGGGATGACCAGAGACTGCGGACAGTACAGGGAATGACCAGAGACTGCAGACAGTACAGGGGATGACCAGAGACTGCGGACACAGTACAGGGAATGACCAGAGACTGCAGACAGTACAGGAGATGACCAGAGACTGCGGACAGTACAGGGGATGACCAGAGACTGCGGACAGTGCAGGGAATGACCAGAGACTGCAGACAGTGAAGGGGATGACCAGAGACTGCAGACAGTGAAGGGGGGATGACCAGAGACTGCTGACCTTTGGGGAGGGAGGGGGAGCGGGTACCTGAATTTGACAGGTACCCGCTCCCACTTCCGCGGAGTTGCCTTCCCTCTTCTTCCCGGGCCGGCTTCTGTGACAGCCGGGTGCCCACTGCGCAGGTGCAAGAAGCGCTTCGCTTTGTGAATGGCCCGGCGCCTTCTGTGACCTTTCATGTGTCCCAGAAGACACCGGATCATTCACAAAGCGCAGCACATGCGCAGTGGGCACCCGGCTGTCACAGAAGCCAGCGCGGGAAGACTGTGCAGCGCTGGAGCGAGGAACAGGTAAGGCCCTGCAGGAGAGAACAGCTGAGCGGCCCGGCCCGGTATTCTGACATGGTGGCGGCAGAAATACCGGGACCGGCCGCTTTACATTCGCTCCATAAGACGCACTGACATTTTTCCCCCCTTTTTGGGGGGGGAAAAAAGTGCGTCTTATGGTGCGAAAAATACGGTACTATATGGGGGATGAATTACTATAGGGGGATGAATTACTATATGGGGGGATGGATTACTATGGGGGATGAATTACTATATGGGGGATGAATAACTATATGGTGGATGAATTACTATGGGGGATGAATTACTATATGGGGGATGAATTACTATATGGGGGATGAATTACTATAGGGGGAATGAATTACTATGGGGGATGAATTACTATGGGGGATGAATTACTATGGGGGATGAATTACTATATGGGGGATGAATTACTATGGGGGATGAATTACTATATGGGGGATGAATTACTATATGGGGGATGAATTAATATATGGGGGATGAATTACTATGGGGGATGAATTACTATATGGGGGATTAATTACTATGCTTACTATGGGGGAATATTACTATACTTACTATGGATGACACATACACATCATTCATCTACTCTTGGTCCGGCCCCCGGGTCCAATGTATGAACCCATTGCGGCCCTCAAGTCAAAAAGTTTGCCCACCCCTGGGCTAGGGTATGCTGCTCTAGACTATACGGTGCCAGGTTCCCCCAGACA